TTTATAAAAAAAACTGAAATCTTCACTATATCTGACAGTGAACTGACATCACGTAATCGGAAACAATCAGGTCCTCTGGCTCTTCCTAGTGCTCCTAATGGGATTTGCAAGGATCCACTGGGCCTGAACATAAACAAGCAATCAGAGCAGAGAAAGATAGTTGATTGTTGAGTCTCATTCCCAGATTGGCAAATACCAATGCTGGGAATGCGATTCAGCAATCTTCAAGCCTCCAACCCAAAGTGTCTTTCTATCTTTCTTGGCTCTGATTGGTTGTTTTCGTTTAGGCCCGGTTGATTCTTGCAAATGCCATTAGGAGCACTAAGAGGAGCCAGAAGGACCTGGTTGTTTCACAGATTATCTGTCTAATATACTACTGTCAGGATAGTTTCAGCAAATATGACTAATAATATTTTTAGAAAAAGTACCTACTGCAGCTTTAAAGAAGTCATCCTGCTGAAATTTTGACATTTAAATATGTCAAACATGAAAATAAAACTGGTGTCAGTGGCTTTAGATAATATGATGAGCCAAAATTTTCCATACAAGAGTTTCAACACGCTGTAAGGCTGTTCTCTGAATATGCAAAGCACTGAACAACCGTTACTTCTCCCATCTGTGTGCAAAAGTAAAACCAAACAGTCACTAAGAGAAAACAGCCATGTGTTAGCATTGTGGTAAAACGCAGCCAGCTAACAGTTCTGCTCCAGCAAACAGCCTGTTTGCTCAGTGACACTGACCTGTTCAACGTGTTTCTCACATACTCTCGACACACACAGGCCTTCTTTTAACAATGCTTTTTATTGAATTTTTCTTCATTTCTCCTCTCGAATATTCAAGTACATGGATTCGCAGATCCAGGAGACACAATCAGTAGCAAATACTTTCAAAACATCATCATGTTCCTGTTTGATTCACAAACGGTTCCACCTAACAGCCAAAAATTCACCCCCAGGCTAAGACACATGGACCTCTTGTAAACATGATGCAAATCAATCTTTGCTTTGATTACAAAAAGTAATCTGGTACAAAAATATCTTTTCTTTTATAGGTATTTCTCTTTTTAGGAATATTTACATGAAGTACCTCACAGTATAATCTGATTTTAAAAAGTACATACTGTAAAATAAACACAAAAAAGGTCTCAGAGGGGTAAAAGGCCTTTGGTTTTCATGAAAAATACGAAAACAATGACGAAACACAAAAAGTCCATTCACTGTCCTGTGTAGCACAACAGTGATTCCTGGATTGGTGTCTTGTAGCCAGGGCTGTAGGACACCACATTTCCACAGGTTTCAAAGAGTTCCTTCCTCAAAAAGTTCACAACAAAAAAAGCTGCGGCTACAATCAGGCGTCACTCCTGGGGACGGCAGACCTACACAACCTCCGCTGGGCGTAGTACCCCAGAACGATGAGCAGCATCTCTGAGGTGCTACTGAGGGCCACGATGAAGGGTGCCTGGGACGCAAAGTCGGCCTCTGTCCGGCGGAAGGACAGCTGCATGACGGCGAGTGCCAGCAGGCTGTTCTGGACGCCCACCTCGATGCTGACTGTCTTTCTCTGCGGTGGGGCCAGGCCCGCCAGCTTGGCCAGGATGGCCCCGACCACCAGCCCCAGCAAAGGCACCGTCACCCCAACTGCCACGATCTGTGGCCTGACGTTGGCCAGGATGGAGGCGCCCATTTGGTAGGCCATGAAGATTCCACCTACGATGAGCACGAGGCTGAATGGTCTTATGAGTGCCAGCAGGACCCGTGTGAGGGCGGGCAGGCGCAGCTTGATCAGCATACCCAGGGAGATGGGGATGGCAATGAACAGGAGGGTGCCAAGGATCTTCACAAATGGCACGTGAAGGGCAGCATGCACGCCTAGCAGCCGACCATACAAAGCTGATGACAAAGGCATGGCCGCCGCCGCCACCACTGTGGAGACCAGGGTCATGGAGATAGCCAGGGTGACATCTCCTCCGAGCAGCAGGCTGTACAGGTAGCCGCCCCCGCCGCCTGGAGCGGAGCAGGTGATGACCAGGCCCAGGGAGAGCGCTTTAGGCAGTAACACCAGCCGGGATACACAGTATGCATACAATGGCATCACCAGGAACTGACCCAGCACCCCTAAGAGCAGGGGCACCGGGCTCCTCAGCAGACCCCGCAGCACCTCTACCTCCACCTTGCACCCGAAGGCACACTTGTTGATGAAGATGAGGGGCAGCAAGGCAAACAGCACAGGGTTCTCGGAGAAATGGGACAGGCCACCCGACTGGATGAGCCGGGTGGCCGGGTCATCGTTACCGGGCGCCACTCTGATGGAGTAATCCGTGCTCTCCTCGATCAGAACCGGAACCGAATCCTGGTCCAGGTCCAGCAGCTGGATCTGCAGCTGAGCCCTGCCTGGGATCCCGGAGCGGATGCTGATAATGTAGCTCTTGGCTGGTCCTGCGTGGCCGCTATCAGTCACATTAAGGATGGAGAGGACCTCCGGATCCAGGGAGCGGACCGTCACTGTCTGCTTCCAGCTCTGGCGGCCCTTCCTGCTGGCCGCGGCGCTCCGGTACTGGCTGGAGATTACAATCACGCCGTTGGTGTATTCAGGAAACTCAAATTCCTGCGACGAGCCGTCCCCGATTCTGATGTACCTGCTGCTGCTGTCGGCTGTCTGGTTGGTGTCGTTGCTGCTGTCGACAGTGAGGTTTCCGGTGGCCCACGCCCGGTCCGCTCCGGTAGTGAGGAAGAGACAACAGAATGTAAATAGCGTCCTCATCTTATTGACGGACAGGGGGCGGAGGGGTGCCGCAGAGACACGCTTCTTCCCCGCCGGCGGCCTCTCCAGACGGTTACACCGCCGCCCTGTTACACCAGGACGATAAACTTCTCATTCTAGTCTCCGGTAGAAAACAACAGCGTCGGCAGCCGGCTCTACATCTCGTCTGGTTCCCATTTTCTCGCTGCCTTTATACCGGAACCTAAACATCACCCCGCCCTGTCCTGTCCGAGCCCAGCAGCCGCCCCCGGCACACAGGAAACACTCGCACCGCTCTCTCGCGGCTTCCCTTTTGTCTACTCGGTGCTAAGATGTCCGTCTCGGCAAGCCGAAGCCTCGCCTCGTCTTCCGTTATTATTATCTCCCCGGTTGATGAACACTGAGAGCATCGTAGCTCGGCTGCCGTCTGCTTGCTGCTCAGAGCTACTTCTGTAAAACTAGCTGCGGTAGAAGTCACACTTCCGGTCTTTAAATTCCAAAATAAAATCTTTATTTTATTAAAACTGCAGTAGGTAACTTTTATTTAAAAAAATATGTGTCATATTTGCTGAAACTGTCAATACATCCTGACAGTATTACACGAGACAGATAATCTGATCCTCAAATACTGACACTGGGAATGAGACTCAACAATCAACTATCTTGAAGTCACCAACCCCAAGCTCTTTCTATCTTTCTCTGCTTGGGGGTTTGATTCTTGCAAATGCCATTAGGAGCACTAGGATGAGCCAGAGGAACCTAATTGTTTCACAGATTATCTGTCT